GGCTCCTGCCCCACCCTCCTCAGATAACCAGAATTTGTAGGTTACCGGCACGCTCTAATCCCCGGGTGTGCTGGATAACACAGGTTTTACTGTACAAGCAATTCAATGTCAAGTACCAAAGGGGGACCTAGGGAACTGTAATCACATAAACCTCTATTGTTCCTGTCTGTAGCCATGTCTTAAAGGCACAGACATCCTGGGCAGCCATTGTGGCAGGAAGGCAGTCAGAGGAAGCCACTGGCCACACGGCTCTCCCTGTCTGTCTGCCAAGGAAGCATGGCACAAGCACAAGACCCCCAAGGACCTTCCAGAGAGCCATCCCACAACCCAGCCAGGGAGCCAAAGAGGCGAGCTCCAACCTGATCAGGGCCTGAGGTCCTAGCACTATTGGAACTTTGGGGAGAGGAGGAATTCCTGAAGGCTCTGCATTCCCAACACCAAAATGACATTTATGGCCAAGAGGCTGGCAAAAAAAGGCTATCAGCCCAGAACCTTGGACCAAGTGCGGGCCAAGGTAAAAGAATTGAGGCAGGACTATGCCAGGGCCCATGAGCACAGCTCCACCTCCTGGGAAGTGCCTCATTACTGTGTCTACTACCAGGAGCGGGACATAATCCTGGGAGATGGGGAATCCATCTCTGCATGGGTGCTCATCGAGTCAGGGTTGGAGACACCTGTCCAGCACTGCCAGGAGGTGGCTGAGGACAACCCAGAGCAGCAGCTGCAGGAGGAGGAGGAGGAGGACCCCAACAGGAGTCTTGTCACCCTCACCCTGGAGCTGGTCCCCCATACCTAGGAGGCCTCCCAGGAATCTTCTGACCCTGGTGAAGGAACATCAGGTGAGCATGGTCAGGTTGCCACACATAGAATGGGGGAGGTGGAAGCACAGGTGTGCCAGCAAATCTTCACGTCATGCTCTTCCTGGACAGCTTGCACCTCTCTGTGCATGTGCAAGCACGTTCAGTCCCAGGGCATACATGGACAGCTGCTCTCAGCTTGGGGAGGGCCCCACACATGTCTGATCCCAGGGAGGGCTGTCCTCTCCCCGCCAGGCACTGCGGGAAGCAGGCTGGTCACAAGGGCACATGCACGATAGCACACAGACCACCACAAGTGTCACACAACACTCAGCCATGTATGCACATGCAACACAACAATTGTTCCCGCAGGCAGTGCTGCCCTGGGCAGGCGGTGGGGGCCTTGGGACACCCAAGTTGCTCCAGGCCCCTGTACTACATCTGGTGACCCACTGTGGCTGGACAGTTCCCTGGGCTGCATGGCCATGGTGGTGTTGCGGTGGGGTGGAAGGAGGCAGGATGTTGCCCTAGCCATCTTGGGGCCCGAGGCCAAGGCTGCTGACCAGGCCAGACTGGGCTTGCAGTGAGAACATTGGTGTCCCTTATTCCAAGGACTTACTGATCACAAGCAGGGACAGCGTGTGCATGCATAAGTGACCACTTCTCCCTCTTATCCTCCACAGACAGACCTGCTGGAGCAGACCAGTGTGCGACACCCACCCAGGCCCACAGAAGCTGCAGGCACTGGTGGATCTCCAATGCAGGCACGTTGAGGCCCCAGAGGAGACTATG